CTCACAGCACCAGCACCAGCACCGGCACCCAGCACCCAGCACCAGCAACCAGCTCACAGCACCAGCACCGGCACCCGGCAAGCACCACCGCCACCGGCACCAGCAACCTGTCTCCATCACGTGCACAGCCAGCCCACCGGCACCCGGCACCCGGCACCAGCACCAGCAACGCGCACAGCCAGCTCACAGCACCAGCACCTGCACCCGGCAAGCACCAGCACCAGCAACCTGTCTCCACCACGCGCACAGCCAGCTAACAGCACCAGCACCGGCACCCAGCACCAGCCCGGCACCCAGCACCAGCACCAGCAACCTGTCTCCACACGTGCACAGCCAGCTCACAGCACCAGCACCAGCACCGGCGCCCGGCACCCAGCACCAGCACCGGCGCCCGGCACCAGCACCAGCAACCTGTCTCGAAAGCGCGCACGGGCAACTCATTGTTATTTGAAGTAAGAACCCCATAGCTTCGCTATCTGGGGAGAAACAGTCCAAATGACCTACAGCCCATCGAACGAACAGCAAACTGGTTCTACCTGGAACCCCGATCAACCAGAGTCATTTAGACAGAGTCATACCTGGAACCCGGATCAATGCATTCCGAGGTTCCATTCTTCAGAAGAGCTGATTCTTTCTAGAGACACTCAGCCTGCCTTGCCACTGGCCAGTGGTCCTACTGCATAACTGATGAAGGACACAAAAAGAATGGACAACAGAGAAAAGACAATAGCTGCTGTTCCAACAAAGGGACCAAAACAAAGAACTGCAGCTCAAGAACTTCGAGTGTCTTTCTCTCTACTTGGTTGTTCTTTGATTCAAGCCGTCTGTAAACAGTACCGTGGTTGGTCCATTGGCAAGATGTGCATCACCAAAGCCTTCTTGAACCTGACACTAATGCTTCGCCTCCAATGAGCTTATCTCTCAACATGGAGCTTCAGAGAGGGAGTGAGCAACAGTGAAGAAACGTCAACACTTGGTTCACCATGCCTCGCAACTATACACGGACATGGCCTTTCTTCAACAAAACCACCTCTCTTCTTAGCACTTCATCCGTCCTCCGCCGAAGGCTCGGCCACGCTTTTTCATGCTTCTCGGCTCCGGGTCGGACGCCTCGGCGCTCAGAGCAAAGCTGGGCAGGTTGGGACAGAAGACCCATGCCATGAAGTGGAATGTGCTCTGATGTGTTTCTCAGGTTCGTTTCTCAGAACAAAAACTGTCTGACCAGGTGTTTTTCAGAACTAAACACATCTGAAGGTGTGTTTCTCATAATGATAAACTCTAAAGGTTTGTGTTCCAGAACCAACATTCTAAAGGATGGTTTTTCAGAAATGTATATATATATATAAGTGTCGAAAAAATGTGAAATTGTGTGTCTCCCAAAAAATGAAATATATGCAGGATTATGCAGGTATATTGTGTGGAAACATTTGTTCTGAAGGTCTGCTACTCACTGCGTCTGCAAAAAACTCTGAAGGTTTTATTTGTCAACAAAAATGTTGAAGGTGTGTTTCTCACTTTAGAAATATTCTGAAGGATTGTTTCTCTGAAAAAGTGTGCAGGATTGTTTCTGGTGGTGTATGTGTCCCAAAAAGATCTTATGGTTGTTTCTCAGGTGATCCTCGGAAAAATCTGAAGGATTATTTTTCGGATTCAAACAGTTCTGAAGACTAACTTTCCAACAAAAGATTCTGATCGTTTGTTTCTCAGAAATAACACTCTGATGTGTTGTTCTTTTCGCAGAAAAGGGTTCCGAAGGTGTGCTCCACAGAAAAAATAAACTGAAGGTTTGCTTTTGGGAACAAAAATTCTGAAGACTCGTCTCTCACAAGAGAAATGGTTTACTCTCAGCTATCCCCTGGCACTGGTAGCTGGGTCATTGACTGGCATATCCCTGAATCATGGAGTGTTGTGATTGTTATGTTGTCATTATCTGTGTCATTGCTTGTTGTCTGCTGTCGTGTTTGTCCTGCTGTGAGTAAATCACAGTGTTACATGTATTGGGTTATGTGTCAAGTTGCTGGCAGGGCTGTGTCATTGCTTGCCCTCCTTGTGTACTGTCAGGTGTTGTTGTGTTTGGTACTGCCATTCTGCGTGTCATGCCATTCTGCTTCATCACCATGGAAGGGGCCACTGGCCACACCGGGACCACTGGGTTGGCCACTGGTGCGATTTTCCTGTGGTGATGCGCCAAGCGTTGTCTCATGCCATTGTTTGTTCCTCAGAACAAAAGAATTCTGAAGGCTTGTTTCTCAGAATGACTTTCTGAGAATAGAAAACTCTGAAGGTTTGTTTCACAGAACAAAGAAATCTGAAGGTTTCATGAAGGTGTGTTTGTCTCAGAATCGTCCGCTGGAATGGCCAAGAATCTTAAGAGGATTATCTGAGCTAACAAGCAGAGGTCTTCTTGATAGACTCCCACCTGTCTCATTGCGGGAGCACAAAACATTCCTCGCCATCACATGTATTTTGCAGCATGAGAATAGAAGACCAACCATCTAATTGTATAAGTATATTTATATATAAATAAGCCCTCTGCGTGGCTGCCCGAAACGCATCCAAATATGAGACAGTGCTAAAACTATGTAAAAATATGCCGAACATTCCGGTTTTCTATATTATAGTGCATGTATTGGCTGCCCAACTTTGGCTGGATCTCAGCTGGATTGATCTGCTTGCTACCAAGGCTCTGCCGGCAGCTCGCTGGTAGCTTGCGTGGGTCCCCACCAGCACTGGGTGATTGGGAGATATGATGCTTTAAGGTGTCACACACAAGTCACGTTACATGGACCGCCACCAACATGCCCCATCGCAGCACCGGCCTGCATGTCATCCAACATGTATCCAACGCGTCTGCAGACGACATTGAACTTGCGACATAGAAACAGAACTCAAGTCATCTGCCCCTTGATGTGTCAATCAAAGGACAGGGCACAGCTTGAGCTGGTGAAGCGGTTCTTGACGGGCAGAGTGAGGTCAATGGGGCTGCATCACAAAGAGTGTCAAGGCATACAGCACATCGTAGCATCTCTAGCGGCCACGAAGTGATGGAAACAGTAGATCTGGATGTAGTTTGTCTTAGGTATTCTTTTGTGCAGGAGATTGCAAACTCTAGTTCAGCAGCTACATGTGGCATTCACCCGCACAAATAGCACCCTCGATCGTGAAAAAGAACATGTCATCTGCTGCAAGTACCTTTGCATCAGGAAGCGAGAGCATGTCTGAGTCCTGAATGGCCACACAAGTCGCATGGCCGACCGGCAAGAATGCACTTGGTGATAAATCTCCGGCTGCGCACACTCAAAAACAGCGGGTGAACATGTTACTGAAGAAGAGACGCATCTGAGACTCGAGAGTCTTCACATGTGACAGTTGCTGGTCGCTTCTTCAACTCAAGGGCAGCCACCTTTTGCGTACAAGACCTGTAGGCAGCACTTGCAACAACCGCAAGAGCCTTGGCTCTGAGCGTCGTGGGCACTCCGCAAACGCCTCTTTAGAGCGAGAGCCAGGCGAAGCTGTCGCAGTCAAACGTTGATGCCGCACAGCTTCGACGGATCAGGACGCAGGAAGTCACCGTCACAGCAATGAACGCAGGGCAACAGCGGGGTGAATGCCAACAGGAAGACACTTTGTACCTAAGCGCCCGACGTGGCGAACCCCTTGGGGCACACTGTCGAAATATGTTCGCAAGCGACCAGGTCTGTGAGCTTTCCAGATTCGACGACTTGCCATGGCTACATGCCTTTGGAGCAGTCCGCAAATTCTCCCACAGCGACCATGCTTCTTGAAGAGTATCAATCTCTGGGCATAGAACTACCACGCAAACACTGAATGCTGCCAAGAGGTGCCATTGCAAAGTGCACATTGAATCCGTGAAGCCCTCCACAACATGTCGGAAGCCTTACGGCTTCGTGCGAAGCTTCGACAGATGAGGAGGTGAAAGTGCTGTTCGGCAGAGCAAAAAAAGGTCTTCTTGGCCAAAGGCACGTTCAAATATCTTTTTGGCAGTCAAACCATCACAAGCCAATGTCAAATCGCAGAGGAAAGCCTTGGGCTCACGGATTTCCAATCTCTTGCCTAACTTGATCTTTACGTGGCAGGGCAAACAACCAAGAAGCCAAGCTGGCACCCTAGCAACTTTGGCACCTTCACTATCTTCGCAAAGCACCAGATGAAACTATGACAAGCTGGCACCTCTTAAATTCCAGACAGCTCATGTGACGAGACAATGATCTTTCAGCGGCTTCGCCGTCTCAGCGGCTTAGGAGGCCTTCAGCGCCAACCGTGGCGCTGTCTCCCGACCTCTCTACAGCCTCTCAGTGGGCACAACGGCGAAGGTACGCATGCAGCACAACAGCGCCCCTGGACTTGGGCCCCTTCCTCGGCGCCCCTGGACTTGAGCAGTTTCACTGACTGTCATTGAGATGGAGTGTTGCTTAGATATGCTTGGATGAAATGAGTCAAAAGCGTCCTTAAGAACTCAAACAAAAAAATGAGCAATTCCAAAATCTTGAAAACCTCTGCCCTTTGGCTGGCTGTTCTGTGCTATCGAAAAAAACAAAGCTTAGCTTCATAGTCTCTGGTGTCATCCGACAGGAGCTATGTGAACTGACA